TATTTAATTCTAGAGCGCGCCCGAACTCCACCAACTTTTGTAGCTGCGAGATTGCACCAATCAAAGGCCTATTTTCTGACTTGTTGCCTACTCAAAGAGGCTTCTATTTTTAAAAAATTGAACTATTTGTTAGGGGATCTTCATATATCTTTATTTTTACATTATAATTGAATATTCTCTCTTTAGAAAAAGTTAGAGATTAGGGTTAGAAGAAAAAAGGAGAGTGGAGGCACCAAGAACACACTTGAAGATCTACACACTCTCTCTCTAGAATTCATCAATGAAGAAGAGGAAGAAGATGAAACCATGTTTGGAGATAGCCCTTGAGGGTTTCATGAACACATCCACCTCTTCCATGATTAGCTAGGCTTCTCCTTGGGGTTTAGATGAACCCTAAACTTATAAATTAAACCCTTTCTTGACTTTTTGAGGAATTTATCTTGTGATTAATGCTATAACTTTGTACATAAAATGAATCTTGGTTTATCTCTATGATTCCTTCGGTTTAATTCATCCATTTAATTCTCTAGTTTAGTTACATGTCTATTTGTAATTAATTAAAGATTATATCTCTATGATTTATATGGTTTAATTCTTCCTTTTGATTCTCTTTGCGATTACATGTTGTTTTACGTGTGATTATTTGGGAATTGATCTCTACACTAGTTTCTCTATGTTAATTGCATGTTTATGTGTGATTTTAGTGATGGCTATGCATGGTTTTTATTGAATGGGTTTGTCAATTAAATTGATGGATTATACTTATGCTTGATGGGTTGTTCTATAATTTAATTCATGTTTGTAGATAGGTAGACAATTTATGCTTGATTTGATATTCCATGGCATATTGTTTCAAATTCCATAATTATCTAGATTGATGTGTGCTACAATTGTACTAATTTGATGGGTTATGCTTAGAATTGATGAGTTGTGCTACACTTAGTTTATTTGTCGGTTAGGTAGACATTTCATTCTTGAATTTGATGGCTTATGCTTAATATAGCAATTGGTAGTTTCATTTTGTTCACAAAAATGTTTTCCCTAATTAGTTGAAAGTGTGTGGTTTAGTGAATGAGCTTGGTGGTGATTCCAACACCCCAAGACCTCTCTTTCTACCATTCAAACCCTATCTCATTTTAGTTATTTTAATAACATTTTAATTTCATTGCACCTCAGTTTAATCAACCAATCTCTACTTGCAATCTTGTGATCCACTAAAGTCAAAGTTAAATTCCAACACATATAATCTCTTGGGAGGATCCTTTCTCACTCATACTACATAGTATAGGTATTAAGCGGTTTATAAATTTAAAGTATGATGCCCACTTGACACTAATTTTCAAACTCAAAGTGTTGTGCATTATTTTGTGCACACGCTCGGGTCACATCAAAAATCTTCTAGCCAATTCAAGAAATCTTCAACATGAAATAAACCATCAGAACTAGAAGGAAAATTCTTAGGATCATAATCCATATAATTAGAATATATTCGCGTGTATTTATAACCCTCAAACACGTCTTCAATGCAATCTTTATCATCATCACTGAATTCTTGATCGTAGGCTAGCTGTCTACACGATGGGATGGGGTAACAATTCCAAACAGGTTCTTCGTCAACATTATGCACCCTATTGCTCTCGCAATTTTGCTCCAACTCACATTACTTGATTATCTTGCAACGTTCGTTAGGTTTTGTGATGTTTCCGGTTTTTGTCATTTTTTATTTTTTTTCGAATTTCGTTGACGCAGGGGTATTTTCGTCCTTTCACGTTTTGCGTACGGGATTTTAGTTGGGTCTATTCGCATTTTGTTCATTTAATTTTATATAATGTATGTAGCATTCATGTGGTGCATTTTATGTGTGTGAGGTGTAAATTGAAGTAAAAGAAAAATGGAAAAGAAAAGAATTTTGGCGGGCCCCACCACTAAGCCTTAAGTGGCTAGAGACCATTTTTGGTCTCTCAAACTCTCTCTCCCCGTCACTTTTTCTCTTATTCTCTTTCTTCTTCATTTTTTTTTCATTTTGCTTCAAATCTTTGGAGCTTAATTGTTTCTTCATCTCTTGTTGGAATTGGGTGCCGTTTGAGGCAAAACGACGAGCACGACGAGCTCTACGCATCCATACAAGCAATTTCAGTTTTAGTGCCCTCCTTGGAGTTCGAATTTGAGGACCCATTTTTAGGGTTTTGGTGCAAACTTGAGGTAGGGGCATCTTAATTCATGTTTTCTTGCTCTTTTGTGTATTATACCTTCCTTGTGTGATAATACGTTTAATTTAAGAGTTAATTGTATCAATGATTATATTATTGATGTCTAGAGAATTTCATGATATTGAATGTAACTTGTATTATGTGAAAAGCATGTCTAGATGCTACCTTGTTGTGTTTAATATGATGATAATCCATCTTGAAAATGTGGAACATGATATAAGCTTGATTGGTTGTTGTTGTTCTTTAAATGTCTTAATCACCATGGAACATATATACACAAATGCATCATTGGGTTGCATGAAATAGGAGAAATTGTTTTGAATTAAAAATGGGGAGTTTTGGGAAGAATGTTTTGATGAAAATGTTTTGGAAAACCCGGTCGCTGCGGAGTTACCAACGGACCGGTAGGTTAATGTAATCTAGAGGGAACTAGGGAGAGTACCCTAGCGTGGTTGAGCTATCTGGGCCCCATAATGACGCTGCGGAGTCACCAAAGGTTAGGGACAGTAGCCAATCCTTCTCTCGGCGCTGCAGAGTCACCAAAGGGGGTGACATTAACAGTTTACAAGAGTTGGTTTTGAGAAAAGAAAATGGGGAGCGACATTGGCATGCATTTGCATTCCACGGCATTGCATTCTTTGTATTCGAATTTGGTTGGAATGTAGTATTAATCCCCTATGTTACACGCTTCCTATTCCCATTGGCCTATGCTTTGATTGGATTCACGGGGACCCAAGACGCATGTCTTAGGTGTCACCTACTGAACATATAGCTCACCCTACTATATATCTTTTTTTCAGGTCTTGGAAAAGAATCGGCGGATGCCAATCCACCTCAAAATTGAAAGTTGTTAGAAAATGATTTTTGCTATTTTGTATTTGGCCATTTCATGTATAATCATAGTTTTTTTTGGAAAATGTAAATAAGTTTGCAATTATGGCCACTGGATAATGTAATTAAGTTTTATTCAATCACACGCCTTTTGTGTATTTAAGTAACGTGTGGTGTTGATGGTTGTGGCATTTTTATTTGATGTTAAAATGAAATTAACTTTTAGTTACACTAAATCCTCTAGTGTATTTTAGTGACTTGTGGTAAATTACGTTATCAACGTGGGGTTATTATTGCAATTAAATGTTGAAATGTATCTTAGTTTATATACGTGATTGTAGTGGCACAATGTTTGGACAGTGGGTGAGGATAACCCAAACCAGTCGACGTGTAGCTTCCTATACGTCGACCAATATCCTGACATTAAGCATTTTAAACGTGAATGACCAAACCAGTCGACGTATGGCTACCATACGTCGACCGGTATCTTACAGTGTGGTAATCTTGTACACGTTCCAAACCAGTCGACGTATGACACCCCATATGTCGACCGGTATCATGTCCCAAACCAGTCGACGTATGGGGGCAGTGGGTTTTCCACTGTTCATGCCCAAACCAGTCGACGTATGGTGTGGAAATGTCGACCGGTTTATGTTACTTAAGTAATATGTGTTTAGTTTTCCAAATTACACATTGGCACCCAAGTGAGGTTCCACGTAATTATTTTTATGACCCAAATAAGTGCAATAATTATGCTTTGACCACCGAAAAGACTACATTGCCCCGAAACTCATTTTAATTGTTACGTGACACACGTAAATGACTATGACGTCCTTTGGGTCTTAATTTATGGAATTATGGTAAATTACCATCTTACCCTTTTTGGACCTCGACATTTAAATTTAATGTGAAATTACCGTTTTACCCTTGGATATTTTTGGGCCGGGTTAGGACCCGTTTAATGATCCGGATCCATGAGGAGCTGGGTCGTTACAGGTTTTATGTTGATAGCCTTGAAATTTGTCCCTAGAAGGAGCCACTCTCTGCTGATCTTCGTTGCCAGTGAGGTTGCCGTCACCACATTCATCTGCCATCAGACCAGGAAAATATAAGGCTCTAATAATAACTGACGTAAACGGAAGCAATAAAGTTGTTCACAATGAACAGTTTACTTTAATTCACAAATTAGGTGTTTTGAATCCGCAAAGCTAAGAAATAATCAAGAGAAATCTGATATGTTATTGATAATTGAATGAATAAAAGTTAATTCTGCACTTTGCGTTGTAGTACACGTATTTATAATACTTCATAGAAAACCTAACTCTAAAAGAAAACTTAAATATAAAGAAACCTAATAGCGAAAGGAATATAACACTAGAAATACGCCTAAAAATAAAGTTTCTCAAAAAATTCTGAAAAAATAAAATAAAAAATAAAAAATACTAAATCTAAAATTTGAGAGCAATCAGACTTTGTTTAGGCATCGAACAAAAATTGAAAAATAATCAACAGACCTCCTATAACATAACAAAACTTTTTTCAGAACCCTAAACGAAGGTTTTCAGCGAAAAGCCAACATCACAACAAGCTAAGGTTAGTGGGTTTTTCTCAATACATCGTTTCCACTCAAAACATACTATTGATTTGTCAAAAATGAACTTGTCAAACTACTTGTCGAACAGTTCAAACTAAAAAACTATACCTAATTTTAGTCAAGTCAAAAAAATAAAAATAAAAATAAATAAAAATTATTACTACCATTAGCCCATCCAAAAAGATATTAGCCCACCCCACTCAAAATTCCCCGGACCGTTCTATATCATATTCCTTGAAATTATATGCAGTCTACCATCATAAACTTTCCCGGTCCCCCCAGTCAAGAAAGTCACCTAACAATTTGTCCCCTTCAAAAATTTTCCATAGATACCTTAATAATTGGTAAACTGACAGGTCAACCCCAAGTCCATCTACTATCTCAATTATTACTCTTCTTTAGACTTGGTATGTTGTTGGATGATCATTTTCCAAAAAAAATATGTTGTTGGATGATCTCTCTCTGGTGTGTCTCTCTTTGTGCATGCCCTGTTAGTAGCGTCCATTGATCTCGCCTTCAGTCCTTCCCTCCCTATGAATCATCGTTTTTGACGAGCTAGATTGACAATGCTCTTTACAGGTACGTTACGGTTGGTTTCATTAGACTCCGTTTGTCTTTTGAAGCTCTGGTTTTACATATATTTATATATAATTTTCATTATTAGATATACATAGAAAGCATTGCTTATGAATTCATCCAATAGATTCAAAACACTGGTATCAATAGATCAGTCAAGTCCTAACTTTTTAATGTAATATATATATATATATATATATATATATATATATAAATTGAATTAGTTGCAAGCGCATTCATGTATGTGGAGAATAGGCAGCTTATGGAAGTGTTCCCAGAAAGGGCAAAGAAATTGTGGAATTATTGGGAGCTGCGTGTCATGATGCTTGTGAGCCTCACCTTGCAGATAATACTAATTGTGCTTGGAGACCGAAGAAAGTATCTTGGCAGGACTCGGGTCAGAGTCATTCTTTGGTCTGCCTACTTAATGGCGGACTGGGTTGCAACCGTTGCCCTTGGCATTATCTCAAGAAATTATACTGGCCAACAACAAAGCAAAACACCGTCTTCTGGAGGGGTTAAAACTCAGAATGCCACAAACGAGCTCATGTCATTCTGGGCACCATTTCTTCTGCTGCACCTTGGCGGTCCTGATACCATCACGGCTTACTCTCTGGAAGACAACGAGCTCTGGCAGAGGCACATGCTGGGACTGGTGGTTCAGACCGGAATGGCACTCTATGTCTTTCTCAGGGCCTGGCCGGGTTCTTTTTGGCTTCCAATTTTGAGCATGGTCATGCTTATTGCTGGTCTCATCAAATATGGTGAGCGAACCTGGTCACTCAGATCTGCAAACAGCGAGCATCGTCGTGACTCGATGCTCACTCCCCCTGATTCAGGCCCTAATTATGCCAAATTCATGGAGGAATTTACTTTGAAGAAGGCTGAGGGGTTCCATGTGGAGGCCGCTGAGGTAATTGAAACCCGGGTTCCCACTGACCAATTTCCTAATGATAATGATGCTGGTGGAGGTGAATTCATACTCAAAGCATACCTTCTGTTCCAGACATTTAGGCGTCTGTTTGTAGATCTCATCCTTAGTTTCCAGGATCGACGCAGCAGTCGATCCTATTTCGAAAGTCCCAAAAATAACCCTGAAAATGCTTTCCGTGTGATTGAGGTTGAACTCGGATTTGCCTTTGACATTCTCTACACTAAAGCACCGGTGATATATACTTCTGCAGGCTGTATGTTTCGCCTTTTGAGCTTTTCTTGCACTTTATCGGTGTTGGTGGCTTTTGTCTTACTATCTGACAACGATAGATACCACACAATTGATCTACTAATCACATACCTACTGATGGTGCTGGCAGTTCTACTGGAAATATATGCTGCCATTCTAATGCTCAACTCAGACTGGATGTATTATTATTCTTCGACTAGACAGAGCAAATCTCGCAGCTTTAAGATCTTCTCTTGCTTGCTACAACCCAAGAAACAGAGGTGGTCCAATTCAATGGCACAGTATAATTTACTGAGCTTTTGTCTCCGACATAAGCCCCCAATTTTCCTTGAAGTCCAAAGTTTCCTTGGGATCAATAAACTTCGAGAAAAGCATTGTTACAAGACATATGAAAAGGTTTCCCCCAACATGAAAGAACTGATCTTCAAACATCTGTTGAATTTGCCTTGCAACCGCGCTGATGATCCTAGTGCTTTATGTATCCGGAGAGGTAGTTTTGTTCTTAGGGATTATAATTGTCTCTCAGTTGATTGGGCAACCAAGATGGAATTCGACCAAAGCATTCTTATCTGGCACATTGCTACTGACCTCTGTTACTATTTGGATTGTGGGAAAGATCTAGCAGATTCGGTTAGTATCAGTCGTAAACAAAGCAAGCATGTATCAGACTATATGTTATATCTTATGGTCATGTGTCCTTCTTTGTTGCCAATGGGAATTGGAATGATCAGGTTTCGTGACACCTGCGCTGAAGCCGAGGAGTTCTTTGGAGAAAGAAATATTTCAAAAAATGATTTTGCTTTAGCCTGTGAGAAGTTACTTCAGGTGAACACTGAAGTATTGCCGATTAAAGTGAAGGGGGACCGAAGCAAATCTGTGTTGTTTGATGCTTGCCGGCTTGCAAAGTCATTGCAAAACAAGGAAAATAAATGGGAAATTCTGAGTCATATGTGGGTGGAAATTCTAGCATATGCTGCGACTCACTGTAAAAGCAGTCACCATGCTCAGCAGCTCCGAAAAGGTGGAGAACTTCTGACTCATGTCTGGCTTCTAATGGCACATCTGGGAATCACAGAACAGTTCCAAATTTCTCAAGGCCATGCTAGAGCTAAATTGATTGTGAAGTAGGTAGCTAGGAAGCCTGCAATGTTGGTGGTAGCGAAGGACAGACCAGTAACATACGGATGTTTGGTGAGTGTAAGGTACTTGATTGCCACAAGATTGCTTGATCTGGTATAATGAGGCTTGAATTTACTTAAGCTAGTTGCGTTCCTTTGCATATCTATTAAGGCATGCAATGTCATGTAACTTACCTTTTTATCTTGCAGCAGTTGTAGTAGCATGTTGGTGCAATGTAGCATCTTTTAGAATTAATGAATAGAAGAAATTTTTAAGACGGTGCTGCTTAATATAATGGCCATTGTGGTGTGTTTATTGCACCAATGAGTTTTTCTTTTTCTTTTATTATTATTATTTTTTTGTTCATTTTACTTTCTTTAATTATACCTTTCTCAAATGCCTTTTATTTTAATTATTTCTTTATTTTTATTCTAAGACACAAATGTATTCCTCATGAGTTATGAAACACAAGATATAAATACTGAATCTAAAACTGCCAAGAATTGATTCAAATGCTTAAGGATTTTATGCAGATGCCTTTTCTTTTAAGATTAGGAGTTAAAAGGAAGAAGACATTTACTCAAAGATGAGATAGTAAAAGCTGATACGATAACTATTTTAGCTCTTACCCACCTTTCCCCAAGCAATGGAGTTAGGGTCAGACTTTTTTATTTTATATGAATAAAACTAACCACAGAATGGTGTGATTAACATTAATAACAAAGTGGATCAACTATGGCTTCGAAGGTGGACTTGAAGAAGGCATATGATTATGTGTAATGGGGTTTCATTCAGAGAATGTTACAGAAGTTTGGTTTTAGTGATAAATGGATCAGTTAGATTACAAAGTGTATTTCATCTTCCAAGTTTTCCATCTTGTGTAATGGAGTTCCAGCAGGATTTTTTTTCAGCTTCTAAAGGTATTAGACAGGGTGTCCTCTATCTCCACTATTATTCTCCTTTGTCACTGAATACTTTAGTAATTTGATGGAAAAGGCTATAGAGGAGGGTAGGATTAAGCTTTATAAGGTTGTTGCTCAGGCAAATATGAAGATCTCTCATGCTTTCTATGCTGATGACTTGCTAATGGTGGTCAAAGCTGACATTCCTTCTGCAAAGGCCATTGTAGATGTCTTTAAACATTTTCAAGAAGTTACAGGGCTGCAGGTCAACAAAGAAAAGAGTTCTGTAATCTTTTCTAAATCTGTGAGGGGAAAAATAAGATTGGCTAATATTTTACAATTTCAGATTGAAAATTTTCCCTTCAAGTACCTGACCATTATCAAATAATTGTTTGAAATGTGGTGATTTCAGGATTTTGCTTGATAACATTAATTTAAGGTTGGCACATTGGAATACCATCAATCTATCTATTGCAGGGAGGGTTGAATTACTCAGGTCTGTGTTGTTCTCTTATTTATATCATTGGGTATTTGGTTTTAAAATCCCATGGGAAGTGAAGAATAGTCTGGCGAGGAGGTTTAAGCATTCCTTGTGGAGTGGCAAACATGATGTTTAAAAAATTTCTCAAATAAAGTGGAGTCAAGTTACTTTATCTATTTCTGAGGGAGGTTTCAACATTAGAAGAACTAAGGATATTGATGAGGCTGCAAAAATTGCTATCTGCTAGGATTTTGTTCAGAAAAAAGACAAGTTGTGGATCAAATGGTTACATACAGTATACTTGCAGAGGGTTTCTTTCTGGAATGTGATTCCTAAGGGTGAAGATTCAACTGTTTGGAAGCAAATAGTAGGAGTTAGGCAGCTGCTTTTGAATAATATTGATTTTAAAATTGGAGATGGTATGGAATTCAAGTTACTAACTGACCCTTGGTGTGAGAACCAAACATTGATCCAGAGAGTTGGAGCTACTATTCTTAGGCAAGTGCACAAAAATCTTCGAGTTGCTGATATTATGCAATCTGGTAATTGGGTTATTCCTGATTTTATGCCTGAAGAAGTTGTAACAGAGATTCTAAGAGTCAAGATTAATTCTGGGAAGGATATGATTGTGTGGAAGCATGGTATTTTCACTCTGAAATCAGCTTGGAATATTTGCAGATCTTCAAGTCAGAACCTGAATTGGAGCTGTTTTGTTTGGAAACATAATAGGCCTAGAATTGCAGTAGTGGTTTGGATTATATTGCATAATAGAAATTTGTCATTGGTTAACTTGTAGAAACGTGGAATTACTCTGACTTCTATCTGTCATAACTGTTGGCAGAATGAGGATTCTAATGATCACTTATTTTGTCTCTATTCCTATGCTCATAGTATCTGGCTGGAGTTGTTTGGTTTTCTGCAATTAGAGCTGCCTACATGGACTTCTTTACAACAGATTTTGGAGTGATTCAGCCAGCAGTTTATCAAGAATTCTCTCAGGTCTAAAATTTTAAGTTCCATATTTACAACAACTGTTTGAAAAATTTTGGATGGTAAGGAATGCAGTGCTACATGAGGGTGTTAAGGAACAAGCTTCTTATATTGCCAAGAATATTGTGTGGGAGGTCTTGTCTTACCTCTCTCGTAGCTTAGATGACTTCAGTCTTGTGTTTTCACGATTTCGAGTCTTTTGTTTTTTCCCAGTATTTACTGGAAATGGGCTTTATCTAGGCCTTGATTTGTAAAAGGAGGTATGCCTCCTTATGTACTTGTACAATTTTTTATTTTTTATTTATATATAAAATACCCCATTGAGGAAAAAAAAAAAAAAAAACATTAATAACAAAGCTACAAACGTACAAGGATTAAAAGAGGGCATAACCCCTTAGTACAAGCTGAAATGGAATAAGCGCCATTTCCAATAATAAAAATAAAAATAAAATACATTGAAAGAAAAAAGATAAAAATCTATTCAAATCAGAAATCATGAAGGCTGGAACAAGGTTAAGACATCCTCAATAGACTAATGAAAAGGCAACAAGACTTCCCAGTTAACATTGAGCGCTGCAGCAGAAGGCTGGCCAGTCCTTAAAACTCATGTACCAGCATGCCTCTCTTTCCACATACTCCTGATTGTGGTAGAAAAAATGCAGGAAAGGATAGAGCACTTAAACTTTTTCGGACAGTGACTCTTAAAAACCATTCCATAAGGCTGGCCAAAATCGGAAGCTGTGGCAAAGGAATACAGAGATATTCAAAAAATTTACTCCAGATCTGCTGGGCATAAGAACACTTCCAAAACAGGTGGTCATTACTATCCTTATTAGAATAACAGCGATGACATATAGCTGTGAGGCAAAGCCCCTCATTTTGAGATTAACAAAAGAGAGATTCCTATTATGAAGAATCAAACAGACTTTTATACAAACTCTAGGCCTGCAAAATTCCCAAACTAGCCTATACCAGTCTATCCTTTCTTCCTTTAACCTTGAGGCATTCCAAACTGACTTCAATGAGAATTTCCCATGTCTCCATAACCTGGTCATGCTGACTCTTCTTATTAAAGTTATCATGCTGTTAGAGAAGGAAGCTTGGCACTTCCACCTGCCATTAGTTATACTGGAAGAAACAGAAGCTCACTTATCAAACCTACACACCAGGGATCATACAATTAATTGAAGGAAGAACCAGACCCCACTTAGTGGTCTCACCTCCGAAATTTGTCTCCAAACAGCAGAGTGCTTCTATTGTTCTGAAATTGGCCAAAAAAGACGTGACTGAAAACCTTACATCTTCCATTTAATGTAAACACTGCATGTCCAGGGGATTTTATATGCATAACACCAATAATACAAGAAAGACGTGACTGAAAACCTTACTAGCTCCACCCTATCAGAAGAGAGAGTTTACCGCAGTTCCATCCTGCTACTCTGTTAGATATCTTGTCCAAAAGAGGACAAAAACCTGCCTTCTTCAAAGATTTATAAAAAATGGCACACCAAGATATCCAAAAGGAAAGGAGATCAATCTGAACTGCAAAACGTACTTCATTCTTCTTTTCCTTCTAACAACTTTGGAAAAGATGATAATACTTTTCTCTCTATTGATCTTTAAACTAGTGGCTGTTTTGGAAATCTTCAAACACCTGCAATAACTTTGGCAATCGCCGCACTCCTAACGTGGACCTCATCTTCATCCAATTTAGAGAAGTAATCGATTACTGTTAGCCCCTTGACATTTGTCCAAGGGAAGACATGGTCATTCAGGACCATGCCATGTCTTAGGGATCACTTTGGCCTTGTTGGAAATATGGGGGTTTGCCAAAGAGAGGTTAGTGACAGCCTTGACAGCCATGAGAATGCTCAGTGTGCCCTGAGTGGGCTATCAGCGTGCACAAAAGGATGCTCAGGTGCTCAGTGGCATTTTTGTAATTATGATGAAAAGTGAAGTTTGGATTTTTGACCCGAGAATTGGATGGGAGGTACTTAGAGACCTTAGAAGACTGTTGGAAAAAACAGAATTCAGTTTAGAGGTCCAAAAGTTCCAAAAAGGGCATTATGACTCCTCGGCTATAGACAATATATGTTCCGGTCAGACCCCTGATATTCCTAGCAACTATACTAGGGAGGGGTATCTTGAGCTCATCAATTGGGTGATAGCATGGCTTGATTAGAGGGCTTGGTCAACATGCATGGGCACGTGTTGCACCACCCCAAGGGGGTTGCACTAGAGGGGAACATCTAAAATACCCAAAGGCAAACCGGCATGCACTAGCATACAGCAGCGAGCCCGCTGGGGTGGCGTGTAGCGGCACACACGTGGGCAGCATGTAACGCGTGCACGCACATAGCAGCGGCATGCGCATGGAAGAGCACCAGCGTACGCGCACAAAGAAGCACCAGCGCCCGTGCACAGGCGCGCACGGAAGCACGCACGGGCGTGCATGGCTTGGAACACTGTGCAGCCAGAGGCATTCAGATATGGGTTCAGACTTGTGGGCTCATGGACCGTGGCTAAGGTCATGGCATCCACATATCACTTGGTAGGTAACAGGTGTGCCATTCAAGCAATCATCCAATTAGAAAGAGGTATGTGGGAGTAGTTGAGATATGATCTGTGGCTTATGTTTAGTTGTTCCAGAGAAGCCGTGTGACTTATATTCAGTTATGATAGCATATATTGATATGTTATATGGCTTATGTCAGTTATTGTTATTGCATGTTTGTTGACCTTAAGGATTTCATCTAAGGACAATCTAAGTGTTTTGATGATAACAAACCATTAATGGTGTTTATGGACTAATGTTCACATTGAGTGTTGTAGATGATTCACATTCAAAGAAGAACCTCAATGAAGATCATAAAGACCATTCCAAGAATTCCATTACTCAAGATCACATCCATGGATAACAAAGAAGACATGAAGTTGCAAAGAAGCAAATGCAAAGTCCATCTAA